TTCTATATTTTTAGAGGGATTAGGAGAGTCTAAACTCTATATAAACCTTGTCATACACATAGGTTTATTCACAGCTTTTGCATAGAAAATTTAGATCTAATTGAGAGCCTTTTTGAGAGATATTTTTATTCAGAAAATCAATCTGATTTTTCTGATTTTATTTTTGAAAGCACACATATCAACACAAGAGTGATTTATGAGTGTTGTTCTCTATCTCAACGGAATTGAAGTATAATTGAAGATTCAGAAATTCCGGAAAAGCAGAATTCATTCGTTCTTCGTCAAATTCAGATCTAGAAGAAAAGGAGTGAAGCGATCACACTTTGAACGAGTCAGAGCATTCGTGGAGTGTTGTCTGATCTACTTGCAACTCTTCTACAGGGATCGAGAGTAAGCTTGAGGTCGAGAGCTGTTGGACGAGGGAGTCGCAAAGCTAGGGATTGTCAACAATTGGTTTTTGGTAGAACGATAGGGTGTAAGACTGAGTCAAAGTTCGGTATACTTTGTTTCAAACATAGTGGATCGTTTATCTCAGGACTGCGGAGTCCAACGAGGCTTTTCCTGTTACAATTGGTCTATTTTACCAATTGGGGTTTCCTCGATAAAATCCTGGTGTCATAACTCAAATTCTATTTACTTTACTTGCACTTTATTTTTGCTATGTGATTTGATTTTAGTTTTATTTCGATAAAATTAAAATAAGTATAAATTGGATAAAAGAGAAAGTTAAATATATTTACCATCCTCCAAGTTATCTATCCATATTATAGTCCACAACCATTTCGCTGCACACACTCAACAAGTGGTATCAGAGCCATCCCCTATACATTGAGTTAATCCTTGTGGAAGTTCTTTTTAAAAAATAAAATTATTTTTATGTTCAAAAATTTATGATGGAAAATCCTATGAATAAGGGTGAATTGGATATTCTTTTTGATGGCTTAAGTTCCGATCTTGTTTTTAATGGTTTAAGTTCTGATGAGGAGCTTTCTCGTTTATCTAAAAGATATGGAAGACTCCTTAAAAATAGAAAGAATTAAAATTTTAGTAAAGGAGATTCTTCTAAATTCAAAGATAAGAAAAATAAGAAAGATGCTTCTAGTGCTTTTCTTGCTCATGTTGATAATGATACTACTAATAATTCTTCTTTTTGTGTAGGAGATTCTACCAAATTTGGGACATTGAGTAAGGTTCGTTCTTATAATTCGGATGATAAGAAAATTGAAGAAGAACCAAATGAAAGTAATACATTGAAAATCTTTGAGACAATATTAAAGGCTTGTCAGAAGCAATCTGAGGAACTAGTGTTAATGAAAAAGGAGAATGATATCTTGAAGAAGGAGAATAAATAAAAACAGAAATTGCTTGAGGAGAACAAAGTTGAAATTCATAATCTTCAAGGGAAAGTAGAAATTCTTGAGAGCGAGGTAAGTTAAGCTAATTCTGCTAGAGAATCTCTTATTGTAAAATTTAATTCTTTTGAGCTTGAATTGAAAACGACACAAGAGAAATTAATTGCTTTTACTTCTGGACAGATTAAGCTTGATAAGATGATTAGTGTTGGTAAGCATGTAAGTGATAAAACTGGATTAGGTTTTAATGAGGCTTTATCTAGTAAAGAGGGTCAAACTGTTTTTGTTAAACCCATGAACTTGAATGTTCCTATTGTTAAACCTAAAATTTTTGTTGAGCCTATGCATGTTAAAAATGTGTCCAAGGTGCTTTATTATTCTTATTGTGGTAGAACTGGATATAGTCAACACTATTGTCATAAGAAAATAAGGGATAATTCTTGTTCTGATTTTCATGGTTATAATTCCTTTGCAGAGAATTGGTTTCATACTAGAAAGCAAAATAATTGGAATAAACCTAAAAATTCTCATGCTAAAAGGAATTCACTTAAGAAAAAGAATGTTCTTGATGTTCCTAAAAAATCTCTTCAAAAGTTGAATGTGAAAGCTGTTTGGGTGAAGAAAGAGGATTCAAAATTGTATGTGTCTATTGATACTATGGAAATTGTTTCCAATAGGTCATTGGGTGCAAAACCCCCAGAGTAAATCCTAAAGAGGTTTTATGGTCATGGACTATGCTTTGATGAATATCTTGTTTCCATTGGATCATATCTTGTAATTTAGGATTTAGTTTGTTTTTCTTTCACGAGAAAGTGATGATCATATTTTTCTTGTCAATGCATGAGTGATAATTATTTCTCTTGAATTAATTATTTTTGAATGCAAATTGGGGACACATGATTATTTGATGAAAAGATTCTTGATGTGTAATCTATATGTTGAAAGACAATTTGCTTTGTTTATTTCTTTTTAGAGATAAGTCTCTTGAGTTCATATTTTTCATGTGCACTAGTCAAACTCTGAGAAATTTAATTAGAAATCATTGTGAAGTTAACTAGATCATATTGCTCATAAAAGCTATAAAGGTTATTATTTAAAATAAATAAATATAGAGCATGTGTTTAAGAGAAAAATGAAAAATTTCAGTATAAAAAGAAAAGAAAAATCAAAAGAATGCTGAAAATCTTTGCTAAGGAAAATGCTACCTATTAAGACTAGTTCAAAAGCTCTTACTAGATTTTGAACAGGAGCTAATTGAGTAAAAAGAAATGAGGTGACAAGTTGAAATAGGGAATTGCTGTCTACTTTTTAGAGTGAAAGCCGCCTTGCTTAGAAAAGTTTGCTCAAAACAATCTTATCTTGATGCTTTTCGATCAATATGGTTTATACAATTGATCAATGTCATTTGATTGAAATTTGATGAGATTGGATTGCACACACACACATGTGAACTTGCTAGGCAAATTTCTATATCTTCATAAAAATTGCAAGTTGAATTTCATGTTGTGATTGCATAATTGAGAATTGATTTAATTCAATAATTTGTGGGGTCTAAAAATTGTGTTTTAAAATTCTCTTGAATTCTTCAGAAATTTTTGGATCTCATATGTGCTTGAAATTCATGAAAATTGATATCTCATTATTTTTGTTCAAATATCAAAAAAGTAAAAAAAGTGAAAAATGAAAACAATCCAAAAAGATTTTCCTTTTAGTTTTTATTAGGAATTTTTTGTTTTTGATTGGATGGAGATATCAAGTGTGTGATTTTGAACTTGATTGGTTTATTTATCTAGTGGATGAAACTTGTATTATCTTGGATACTTGTCTTTGATTCTATTGCTACTATATATCATCATGTTTTTGTGCTTATTGCCATATCTTATGCATTGAATGATAGTTTTTTTTTTTTTTTTTTCCCCTTTTGTTGTTAATTCTCCCACATTAATTCTTTTCCTTCTTTGTTGAGCTTTATTTGTCAATTTGTAACAAAAAGGGGGAGAATATGCATCATTGATTATTGAGGGAGAGAGTTTCTAGAATTGAGGGGGAGATATTTATATGTTGATATTCACATATTGATATATGCTGATTGTTTATCTTTCTTGATTAAGCTTCACGGGTAGTGTTGTTGAGCTAATGTATAGATTACAGGTTGTTACATGTTTTGAAGCTTCATGAGATTTAAGAAAGATTCTGTTTTATTTCTTTGACAATCATTGTAATTTGTTTTTTCTGCTTTGGGTAGATTACATGTTGTTTTTAGGGTTTTGTCACGAAATTGCCAAAGGGGGAGATTGTGAAATATATATTTTGGAAAAATTGTGAAAAATATATATATTGTATATTGGCTAATTTCGTTGTCAAAACAAGTTCGATCGAGTTGTAATTTTTTAGTTCTAAAATTCGAGTTTAAAGATCGGATGCGGATTTGAAGATGTTCAAGTGTTCATGGGTTGCTACACTCTGAGTTGATGAGAACAATGCTTTAAAAAGGTATGTGAGTGAGTGAGAACACTTAGGGAGTTTAGAAGGCTAAAGGAAACAGAGATTTCTATTTTGTCTTTTGGGAACCGGTAGGAATATCTTTGAACCGGTAGGAAACATTGGTTAGCACAAGGTTTGGTGACTGCCAATATTGAACCGGTAGGAGAAATGGGAACCAGTAGCCAAAGACGTCAGAAAGGCTTCTAACCTTCTTGAACCGGTAGCCAATTTGGGAATCAGTAGCACTTGAACCAGTAGCCAATTTGGGAACCAATAGCAAGAGTCCTGATAGTATTAGAACTTTCAGTTTCCTGTTCTAATTGTTTCCTTTTTTATTCCAACTTTCTTCTAAGTCCTATGCACAAAATTTTCTATATTTTTAGAGGGATTAGGAGAGTCTAAACTCTATATTAATCTTGTCATACATATAGGTTTATTCATAACTTTTGCCTAGAAAATTCAAATCTAATTGAGAGCCTTTTTGAGAGATATTTTTATTCAGAAAATCAATCTAATTTTTCTGATTTTATTTTTGAGAGCACACACATAAATACAAGAGTGATTTAGGAGTGTTATTCTCTATCTCAATGGAATTGAAGTATAATTGAAGATTCAGAAATTCCGGAAAAGCAGAATTCATTCGTTCTTCGTCAAATTCAGATCTAGAAGAAAAGGAGTGAAGCGATCACACTTTGAAGGGGTCAGAGCATTCGTGGAGTGTTGTCTGATCTACTTGCAACTCTTTTACAGAGATCGAGAGTAAGCTTGAGGTCGAGAGTTGTTGGACGGGGGAGTCGCAAAGCCAAGGATTGTCAGCAATTGATTTTTGATAGAACGATAGGGTGTGAGACTGAGTCAAAGTTCGGTATACTTTGCTTCAAACATAGTAGATCGTTCATCTCAGGACTGCGGAGTCTAACGAGGTTTTTCCTGTTACAATTGGTCTATTCTACCAATTGAGGTTTCCTCGATAAAATCCTGGTGTCATCTCTCAAACTCTATTTACTTTACTTGCACTTTATTTTTGCTGTGTGATTTGATTTTAGTTTTATTTCGATAAAATTAAAATAAATATAAATTAGATAAAAGAGCAAGTTAAATATATTTACCATCCTCTAAGTTATCTATCAATATTATATTCCACAACCATTTCGCTGCGCACACTCAACAGTCACTTATGCATAGACAGCCTTCCAGTACTCCCATGGACAGACTAGTGCCATTTTCAAGAGGAGGCAGGGGAACTGATTGGAACAGCTCGTCATCGAAGTTAAAAGAAACTATTTGATCAGGTCTTCTGCCATCTTGGCAGACCCAATAAAGACCTCCATTGAGATAGGTGGGAAATGTCAACCTACAAAATAAATAAGGACCATCACCAATTTGCTACCATGATCCGGTCCCAAGTGTGTATATTTCAGGCTTCCTACCACCATGTACTTGCCTGCCTTTGGAATGACAAATCCAATGATGAAACATTCTAATCAATGGAGGTCTTTATTGGGTCTGCCAAGATGGCACGGCATTGGATTTGTCATTCCATCACCCAAACCCACAACCATACATATATTTGCCATTCTCATCACCCAAAAAAACCATTGGAACGTCTATATACTCACCCGTAATTGGATTACACACAACAACAGGCTTGTCGTATATTAGTTCAGACAAGCAAAGGAAACCATTGCATGAATTCACAATGTTGAATACATAATCTCGGGGGTAAAACTTGGCACGGCATTTCCTTTTAACCGGACTGCCTTTAGGGAGGCAACCCTTTTGGGCTTTCCAAGCTACAACGGCACGCAACATGTCAACATTGCGCAATGGGATCTTCAATTTGGTTTCAAGCTTCATTTTACCACGACGGTCACAGTGAACAAATTTGTTACTACTCTCAGGGTCAACCAAGTAAAGCGTTCTTGACACAAGTGTTGATTCCATTAAATCAACGGAGGTTCGGAGCAGAGCACTGGGTTCTGCCCGCGCAAAGTGCAGCTTGGCGAAATGAGGGTCAGAAATTAGAGTGACCCAAGTTTTGCATACGCACTTGCAAATGAGAATACTCTTTACAGGGAGTCCTATCAGAAAATGTGACTTGGAAAGTCTGTGATGGAACAACCCAAAATCTGAATTTGTTCATCATGGGACTTGTCTGATTGTTTTCCCTCTTTCTGGGTTGAATCTAATTGTCGATCCATGGCTCAATTCTATAAATCTATGGAAATGGATTCGGAGGTCAACAAAATGAGGAAAGAAAGAAATTGAAGACTGTGAAATAGCTCCAAGCAAAAAAACCTTAGAAACAAATTAGATACTACGAAATAGTAAAATAAGAGTGGAATTGACACAAACAAAACCCTAGTTACCAACAAGTTACATACTCTGCAATATTAAAGTTAAACTGCTAAAAATATTGTCGAATATTTACGCGCATAATGTCATCTAATTTTTCAAAACCATTCTCATTACGTTCCAATAATTGATTGATATTCTCAACTTGATCATGTTTAAAAATTTCAATTCTTTTAGATTAATTTCCAAGACCCATGAAGGGCGACTTCCCACCACGACTTGAGTCAGTCCTGTATTATTAACGGCGCAAGTGTAATTCCAAAGAAATTGTTTGCAGTAAGAGTCAAAACTCAAACATCATATTCATGAGACACCACATATAATTAACAATAAAAAAATTGGTTAGGAAATAGAGCTTTGGCATATTTTTCATCCAAACATAAATGTTATTGTGTGGTAGTGTTGTTGAGTAGAATAGTGAACTTCAGGTGCACAGACAAAATAAACACATGATGCAAACCACCAATTAAAGAACCGTTTGGCAACCATTTCTCCTTTGTACAAAATTGTTTCCGTCAAGAATTTTTTTTTTTTTTTTTTTTTTTGCGTCCGCTGCACATTCATGGGCATGTATATTACACGAACGGTCTGGATGTGCAACGGGCGCAATTACGTCGAGCCTTAAGGATTGAATCCACCAAAAAAAAAAAAAAAAAAATGGTATTATGGTTGTGCCTTACTCGGCAAAGCATCTTCCCAAACCATAAAAAGGTACCAAAAACTACTCAATTTAAGAAAAATATAAACTTTTAGGAACTTGTTATTCTCCATATTATGGAGCATCTATCCAATTTTCAAAGTATCCAACCTCCATGAACCTTCCAGCAAATGTATACTTGCTCAACATACTCCTCAACCTTCAGATATAACTTCAATTATAAAGTAGTTGTTTAAGCGTATATCTTGGCTGCTGCATAACTTCCCTTGCTGGTGCTTCCTCCACCCGATGAACTATTCAAATCAAGCAGCTTCTCCTTGGATTGCTCCACCAATGAAAGAGGTAGAGTCTCTCCTGGCATTTTAAATTTTGCGCACCTACATCAAGAATTATAATGTGAAGAGCATATTATTCGAATAGATATCAATTCATATCTTCTAACTAATTGTGCCATCAAAATTTACACGAAAGACTGCCTTATACTCATTTCTTCAGAAAATAGCACAAAAATAATTGTTCCTATATATTAATTCTTCAGTTTCACCATTATGGTTCGTTATATAATAAACATATCACAAGAAGTAAATCAATGCAACATGATTATGTCAATTTCATGGATCAGAGTCTAAAGAAGAAATATTGGCATTCACTTGAAGCAACATTCCATGGAGACAAATTTGTTTAGAAGAATCATTTTACACTTCGCATAATTCTCCACAACTTCTTGAGAACTAGCACAGATATATATCGGATATGTTGCTTTCTCCTATTTATTTTCTGTTAGACAATTTGCACAAATAAATTAAAGACGTAATGTTTCAGTTAGGCAATAAAGAAAATTTCCAAATCAATAAATCATCATTGTCATCGTCGTTGTCATCCTTACCTTAATCCCATATGAATGGGGTCAACATTTTATAGGGCTTTACCCAAGAAAGATACCTTCCAGAGATTCTTAACGGCCAGGGGCTAAACCCAGGCCAAAGAGGGAGGGGGTTAGGATATAGTTTTCAACCAGCAATTGACGTGCTTCGGTTAGAACCTCACTAGTTGTATCATTGCACCAACCGCAAAGATGATTTGACATTGATTTTCCATATCAATAAGTCAAATCACTTAATAGTGGTAGTTTTCAACTAAGACAATTTTATAAGTAATTCAAGAACAAAAAATGTAAAGTTTTTCTCCTTTCGATTAATCTTCCAGGTGGTTATTAGAATGGTACAATTCATATAACACATGTTATCAATTATCCAAAAAATATATATATGTATAACACAAGTCATAAGCTAAAAGGAATATTTTATAGGACACGTTAGTAGACCAACTATGCTGTATGGGGCGGAGTGTTGGTCCCTAAAAAAAAAAACGAGAACAACGCCTTCATGTAGCAGAAATGACAATGATAAGTGGAGTGACTACAAAAATAGGGTCACTAATGAAAGTGTGAGGGAAATTAGTTGTAACCGTGCAGCACCCACTGGGAAGAAAATTCGAAAGAATAGACTTAGATAATGTTAAAAGATATAAAAACCGAATAAGTAAGAACCCAAAAGGCAAAAAAAGAAAAAAGAAAAAAAATAAAAGAATCAACCAGGAGTTTTTACCCAAAAGAATGGACTCCTTAAACCCACCCACCCATGTTCGAAGCTTAAGGAGGGTAAAAGTAGCGTTACCTAAGGCTATCAAACAGCCGTAAGCATCCGTTCGATCATTGAAGAACTTCTAAATCCATCTAATCACAATCCCTAAAGTTCTGAAAAGATCAACGAGCTCTCTCAAACGCCACAACCCCATGGACCATGTCATCACCCATCATACTTATCAAGAATTTCTTGTGGCAAACATTTTGCAACTTAATTTATTATAGTCCTTTACATTATTTATATTCAAAAACTAATTATACAATTCCTTAGAGGGGGTGTGAGTACCAATTAAGAAAAAAAGAAACTAATTATAGACCATTTTCAGTAATATGACTGCATTTTTTCAAAAGAAATGCAAGATAAAACAAAATAAAATAAAATGGTAGTTTAGTAAGATAATATAGTTTTATCTCCACTTTGATATGAACCAACCCAGTGGAACGTCATCAATAAAACGATAAAGAGAGTGCAGATAAATTTTTTATTGACTAAATGATGCAGCCTGTAGGACAAATAAGCACTCTGATACCAAATTGTTGCAGAAGATAAAGAAGAGAAGGAGAAGGAGAAGGAAGAGAAAAGAGGATAATAAAGAATGATTAGGGGCACAAACATAACCTTCATGTTTCTTGATGTTTTTTTTTTTTTTTTTTCATTATTTGTTTTCTGTGTTCCATTTTCGGTATTTTCCAACTGTGTCCATACTATGCTTAACGTCATGTGAAGCCCGTAACTCTAAATCTCCACATGGAAAACTGCAACATAAATACAGGTGCTATATGACCCTTCTAGGCATAGCACATGAGCCTGATGAGTTGACCAATTTCCTCTACCCCGCTTCTTCCGCTTCTCTTTCTTTCACTATTCCCACCTAGTTCCCCGGCTTTGGTTTCTTGGCCGGGATAGCAAGAACCATCGCTTAGTAATCTAGTCGGCTCTCCACAAGCTTCTCAATACCACCATAACATAAGAAAGTGGTGTATTGCATAAGCCCCTTCACTAATCTAGGTCCGACTTTCTTGTGGTGCAAGTAGTGGTCTTCAACTAAATAGGTAGCGAGACTCACCTCAATTGCAGGAATTGTTGTAGTACTGTAGTTCAATACTTTTTACTAATAATTGCAAAATACATAAAATTAAAAAAGTTCATTATCTAGGTTGTTAGAAGGGAAAACTGAAAATAGACCTGACTATTGTCAACATTTTACACAAAGTGGCTGCTTTCAAGCTTGAATAAATATTTGGCACTTGCGTTTCATAAATTAATATTTTTTTTATTAGAAAGTTTATTTTATGAATCAACATAAAAGTTCAATATATGTCTTGCCTTACTCGCATATGAATGGCGTTGGCCACCTGAATTCTGTCTCCATTGCTTTCTATAACCCGTCATATCACCTACTATGTATAATTTTTAAAGTCATTTCTAATAACTACATCCCACATTATTTGTTTGGCCCTCTCTATCTCTTACCTTCTATGGAAATTAAACTTCCTCTTTTAACAAGGGAAAATGAATTGTACACTAAAATTCTAGAACACTAAACTTAATCCCCCTATGCAATAATGATGTTTGACAATTCATGGAAATTTGACATATTAAAGACAAGTTGCTCCAGTTAAAAATAAAAATAAAAATAAAAATAAAAAAACCAAAAACAAGTTTCAAAGACAACAAGCTCTTTAATATACTTGGATATATGTACACTTTTGTTCTTCCAAAACTGTTTTAATGAGTTACATACTGTAAGGATATAAAGATAAAGAAAAAATGAGTTATTGTGCATTATATAAGCATGAAAAAGATAAATTAGCACCATCAAGATGAAAAGGGAAACACAGGGATAAAAACAAAATTGCAAAATATAAAATGTATGACAAACTATCCTTTGCGTGAAGGACTGTAAGTTGTAAATCCAATGATCCAAATAAGGACAGCTCATCCATATGAATGAACGAATCAATGCTTAAGTTGAAGAGACCACTGCTAGCCGCCATTGCTAACTCTACAAAAGCACTATCAAACACGGTGCCTCCTACAGCATGTTGAAGTTATCATTTATGTAACGACCCAAGCTGATGCCAAAATTTAAAAAAAAAATTCGGCATAACCTCCCCTAAAAATAGTCCTTCAACAACCTGTCCCAATACACAAAACACATAATATACCTCATCATAGTTCCTCTCATGGTGGAACATCCACACACCAATTAATCTAAATTATCATAATTACAGTCCCAAAATACATGGTTAAGATTTAAAGTCCCTATCTTACAACATTACATG